GGATGCACTTCATGTGGACGAGCCTGCGTGATATGTGAGTACTCGGTGTTCTGGGTCAGTAGCGACAGATCATGTCATATACTATCTCTCATTTATGTGGCGTATTTTCGTGGTACTCGTGCATGCACTAGCAGGTGTTTAAAAAAACCGTAGCGACTAGCATCATCCAGAGGCCTGAGAGTCAGTGAGACTCCTCGAGTTCGGACGGATGAGCCACAAGAGGCATTATTTTAAATTAATTTTGTCCCCGTCATGTGCTGCAATGAGAATCGTACTCCGCAGCCTGCCCTAAAGCTCCCACCTAGGTCGCTCCCTTCGCATATTGTGTTTCTTTGGTCTTCACCCTCGGAGCGGTCGAAGTTAACCCAGGATCTGTGCGTGCTTCTCCAATGTTTTCTTTGGACTGTCTGACACAGCATATCATTCAGATTCTACGGAACTGGTGCGGGTCGCACGGTCGATTGGCTGCACAGCGGGCGGTGTCGGAGATGCGGGTGTAGATGGACGCTTCGGGCTTGGCCAAGCGTTGCCATTCACCGCGCACGAGTCTCCACACAGTGTGCTCTAGATCAGGAACGGGTACGTTACGATTTGTACTCGCTAGAGGCTATGGTGAGGCTGACGGATGTGACAGGCTGTCCAAGAGGGTCAGCTCGTAGTGTCAATCTCAGTGCGATTTAGTTCCCACTGGGGTTGGCTCAGTACTGGTGATCGTCGTCACTCTCGATGAGTGATGGGGGTCCCCTGTTTCCCAATTGGTGCCATGCTGCGATAGCGTGGTACTTCTTGGACATCGCAAATCAAATAACCAGGACATACACAATGACGGCGCTGTCCACGTCAAGAGACCTCAAGTTGGCTCGGGATGGTGTGGTGTAGTCGAGCGACATTGCAGGATAGGATGGCAGCTGTCATGTAGCGCTATGCGTGGCTCAAAAATGGACTGCGTATTGTGCAACTGCGTCGCGTGTGATTGTGTGCGACTGACTGAGCTTTGGAAGATTACCAGGTCAGATAGGTTGTACTTTCCGCTTCACTGGCACCGAAGAAGCCCTGGCCTGCGATTTATGCATGCATTATACGGGTTGAATGTCTTCGTTGCGGACAAGTTGCGGATGGGAGCTCAGGCCAGTGTCGACTATACAGCGCCACAGAAGACATCGACCTTGCCTGCAGGGTGGTACCTTACCCTCGAACTGTATGAACAGTCCTACGTCTGTTTCACCCCCAGTAGCAACTCATCTCTTAGATCGAAACCGCGCCAGACAGCAGTACGTACTTGCGATCTCGTCAAACCGTTAGTGATCCTGATCGACTTTACGTATAGCTGAGCGCGATGCAGATCTGGCGACCGACGTTCCTGCTAGGTGGAGTGAGAGAAGGGGACGTCCCGTCCTCCGGTACGGAGGCAGGAGGGCAGAGAGTGGGGTCGAGAGGACAATCGCAGCGCTCAAAAGGCCTGCTGGGGTCACGGTCCGAGTGAACCCTCGCAAAATAACACAACGTGAGTCTGCACTTACATTCCTCCGCTTCACGGGCAGAATCATCGACGTGCAGCGCGACACCTTTAGAGTGACCTGGCAACTGATTCGCGAGCGCGACTTCGTAGGCCTATCTGACGTCGACGTTCGTCGACATACACAATTGTCATGTAGAGGATTTCCTGCCGCCGGCATGTGTCTTTCATTGTAGACATGTCACGGAATGGCACTGTTGCAGACGACATGCGAGTACTTGAGCGTCACGAGTTCACATTATCGCCTTCCGGGTTGAGTATAACGTTTGACTGTGCTTCGGATGCGTCACTACGCATGCGATTCAGCCCCATCCATCAGCGTGGTTCGAATCAGTACGAGTGCACTGACTCCGCACGCAACTTGAAAACAAGTAGCGGAGCGAAGCGCATAACCAAAGTAAGTCCAGGCGAAACTCTATATCGGGCACTCTATGATCTATCCACAGCCTGAGGCACTTTGCTGTCCATATCATCCGAACGTAGGACACCCATCTCAATATCCTGCCCACGTCCCGCTTGCAGCACCTCCACCCCCCCTCATGCTTTCTCACCAACCTTCTCATCCGCACCCGCCGCCGCCCTCAGCTGATCCTCGTCTCCTCGTGTAAGCTCCTTGTGCCGGATCATGAATACGCTCGCGAGGGTCGCCGTCGCGGCCAAGCACGCGTTCATGATGAAGAGCGTGCGGAAGCCGCGCGTGTAGCCGTCGAGGATCGTGATGGCCATCCCGTCAGAGATGCCGAGCGACGCGAGCTTGCTGGAGGCAGAAGAGGAGAGGCGGGCACCGAGGACGGTCGGGTCGTCGATGATTGCCTTGATGGCGGTTGCGGAGAGGCCGAGGGCATTCATCGAGGATCGGAGGGAGTTGTTGCTGATGCCAGGCATGTAATGGGTGAGTGGCTCTGGATGCAAAGACGATGCACACACATGATCGTAGCCCCGAGAGCGAGCGACAACGTGCCACCGAGTAGTCGCACGAACTGAGTACACAATGTGAGCACACCCTTGATACACTTGATCGAAGTACTCACGTTTCGCACAGCCGTGACCACAGACATGTCCTTGCGCGACACGCTCGCTTGTGCCGCCACAGTCGTCGTTTGTAGCGTCTGTGCGAATATTGCGTATCACCATCACGATACTATCAACCAAGGTCTGTGTAGCCCAGCGCACCTGACCAGCTCCGAGACCTGACAACAACATGAAGAATACCAAGAGACCTTTCGGTGTGCTGCTTGTGATCGTCGAGAGGCACCCGCAACCGATAGCCCACACCGAGAATCCGGTGTGGATGATAGTCTAACGTGGCTAGCAGTGAATTCACGACCGTATCGGACTTGACAACGGTACGCACCCTGTACCGTCCTGTCCTGCTAACCAGTTGACCCTATTTGATGTATGATGAACCTGCAGTGTTGCTCGCGAATGAATCGCTTACCGCAACGAAACTTGCAGTCGTCTGACTGACGAGGACAGGGAAGAGGAACACGCCTGAGCGGATGGGGAATATCCAAGGGCGACTTGGAAGAACTGCGGTAGATAGAACAGCGCAGAGTAGAAGATCATCCCACTGCAGTACGAGCGCAGCGGAAGTCAACGCAACGCGACGATTGTCCAGACGAAGGGGCTGACATACTTGACGAACATCGTGATGTACACTCCTGTAACGGTTACGTGTCTGAAGATGTACACTGACGGTTTTCCAGTCAACCACCGTTGGAGTCTTCGATAGAGTTGGAGAAGCGTACTCGGGACGATCGGCAGGCGTGCGCCCTTCCATTCCCAGAAACAAAATAGAGAGACAACCAAGAAGCTGGAGCAGAGGGGGCGAGGACCACTGCGGATGTCCACGGAAACGTGACACCACCCTACGAAAGGGCGAAGTGCCTCGGTCAGTGCAATGATGGGGATATGCTTGCGCTACTATCGGACGCACCCAGATGAGAGGCAAGAGCAGTAGTGCAACCCGCAAGAGTCAGCGCTGCTCCGAGGTAATCGACCACCATCAGCTTCCTGGTGAGTGAATTCAACGGTTAATTAGCTGCGCTGTCTAGTTTCATGTCTTGGAAAAGCTATACCCCCGTAGGTTGCCTTCCACAGACTTGAGCGGAAGTACGAGGAGCACGGCACACATCGCGACAAACGAGATAGGCGGCGTGACCCAAAAGCACCACTAGCAAAACAGTGCCGGGGAGGCAGACATGTCAGTATCGCTGTCTAATGCTATTCAAGTGATCTCAGACTCACCCTCCAGTTGACCTTCTGGGCCAGAGCACCGCCGATGAGGGGGCCAATCGCGAAGCCGAAGGCAACCACAACACCAATGATACCCTGGTATTTACCTCTAGATACATCATGAGGAGCATCCGTTCGAAATACGCAGGGACGAAGTCAATGAAAACGTCCTGGGATACGACTGCATGCAAGTCCTCTACACACCGATCACGTAGGCTAACCACGTCGGAGATGACGATTTGACCGACGCTGACAATGGCGCCGCCGCCTGCGCCGGCAATTCCGCGGTATATGATGAGTTCGACGATGGTGCGAGAGAACCCGGCGAGGATGCTCCCTAGCATGAAGAGCGCCATGGCGAGGCATAGGCTGGCCTTTCGACCGAAGATATCACTGAATCGGCCGTCTTGATAGACAAACAGACAGACAGACATTCGTGAGCATAATTTCGATGCACGTAGGTGAATCAGAATTAACTCACAAAGTGGTTGGAAGGCAGTCGAAGTGAGCAAGTACCCTGAAGGTACCCAAGACACGACAGAACCAGCATTGAACGCATCCGATATAGTGGGAAGAGCGGTGGCAACAATGGTCGAGTCTAGAGTAGACACAAGAATGCATAGAGAGAGACTGCAGAAGACCGCAACAACCTTTTGAAGGGAAGAAGATTCGTCTGGTCCGTGAGCGAGATCACATCTGCAGCCTTGCTCTTGGACGCATGTTCCGAGCCTGTTGGATCGCCGATCTCGATGGTGTTAGTGGTCCGTGTGTGACTAGCTGGTGTCTTTTTTTTTTTTTTTTTTTTTTTTGTATTCTCCGTGTTTTAGGCCCGTACTGTAGGTACATGTGGGCAACAATAGTAAGGGACGTCAGACGTTAGCAGACCGTGCTGCGGCTTGGGCCCCAGATCCCGAGAACCCGCCTCCCTGCGACCTCACCACCCTCCCAGCCCCTGCCCTCCTCCTGCATCCAAGGCGTGTCGGGGTGTGGGCAGTCGTAGGTATCGTCCTGGTCTTCGTCATCCCCCAGTGACCCGTAAGGTGGGCCACTTAACCATCATAATCTCCCGCGAGGGCGCGTTGAGCACGCCCGTAGTTACGATAGGCGCTTATCGATCACATCACCAAGGGCGCTCCCAGAGCCCCCGCCCCCCCTGCACCGTGTCCACCTTCACAATGCCGCTTGCAGCCCAATGTATAGCACGCTCAAAACCCCAGGGCTGGTGTCAACCAACGAGGGCGGCGCCGAGAACGACTCCCCCCAACGGCATCGTTTGTGTCGAAGGATTTTTAAGCGAGTCGGGGGCCCGCCGACATGATCCAGTCCTCGCCAAAGGGCGCCTCGCCCTGCTTGGCTGTGGGTGCTGTGTAATTGCGGAGACCTCCTCCCCAGCAGCGGCAGTTTTCGTGTAGCGAGGGGCAAGCTCAGGCCTGGCGTAGCGGGAGCGGGATCGATGGGACAGGAAGGGGATCGGGTCTGCAACCCGCGATCGGTTTTTTGAGGTCGTCCGCGGTCCCGATTCGTTATCGAGTTGGTCGATATAGGGAAGAAAGGAGTGTGGGGGTCGAGTTGGGCGAGTCTTGACACTGAGTGAGGATGGGACGGGCGAGAGAAAGGGCAGATGGGTGCCGATAGCGCGGGCGCTAAAGGGAGATGATGGTGGTGCGAGGTCAAGAAGGATGGACTAGCTGGTGTCGCTGTCAGCATGTCATCGACGTCAACCCCATGTTCGTGTTCGTGCTCGTGTGAGCACATATGCATATCGTTGTCATCCCCGGGCATCGCAGGCGTCGCGGTGATCGTGCCAAGTCGTGAAGGTAAGGGGGGTAGTGCTGGGGAGATCACTGCTAGGAAAACTTTTAAGTAGGCACGTTGCAGAGCAGGACGCTCAAGAACCTCGAGGTCGAGTCATGCAACATGTTGCAGCATGTTACGAGTCCTACTTATCTGGGCCCGAGGCATGGGTAGCCCGCCGAACCTGCCGAGTTCCAACAGTGCTAAGTAGATTCAGAATAACGCAGGAAATCGTACGCGTGACCACGATGAGTCAACTGAGTATATTTCTTTGAGTGCCTAATAGCTATACTTACTACGACCAGTCGCGTCTGGCAGGTGGTCTGACACTGAGTACTTCGTTCACTGAAAGGTCGTCCATCCGGGCCTAAGTAGTACTGTAAGCATCGCATCGCACGAGATGTGTCTCGTGAGCTGATGTCAATGCACGCACAGTGCGTTGGTGACACTGCATCGCTGCAGACTCGCAGATGACGTCGACGTCGACGCACAAGGCCTGTTCAAACAGCCTTCTCCCTAGCGATTCGCTAGTACCATACTGACATACGGTCTAAACGCATTATAAGGTATAAGCTTGCGTTCTGCCAGCGCTACCTACCCTGCAACATCTACTCGGATATTTTTGCCTCCTTGCATGCCGGTTCCTCTGTCTCCTCCGTGCTCAGGCTCCCTTCCGAGTCGCTCCCGCTTGACTGGCTGGGTCGTTTACGCTTCTGGATGAGTCCATCGGTTTCGAGGACACTGTCAGGTAGGGCTTCATCAAAAGGCGGGCCCTTTCGGTGCAACTCTGCATCCAGACGGTGATTGAACCCTATACACTGAAAACCAACGAGTTGCGTCTTCAGGATGCCCATCCGGTACATTTCAGGAAGAGTGATTGCCACCGCGTTGTTATCGGGCGCAGATATCTCGGTCTGCTCTGCCACCGCCTTGTGTAGGTTCGCGACACTTCGCTTTAGTAGATGGTGTGAGCCAATATCAGTAGGATTTTCGAAACAATGCTAGTCACGGCTCACCACAAAAGATGTAACACAGATCTCTGTAACACAAATGTCTCCAGGACCCTCCAGCGCTTGGTAGGTGCCGACGTAGTAGCATTTCTTCTGATAATCATGAAAGAGCTCGTATGTACCCTTTGCGAAGCCAGTTGTCTCGCAGCGCGACCACTTAGCACCCATATGGGCAGTGGAGCGGTACCTATATATGGGAAAAACCAGGAGTGCATGCTGAGAGTCTGGGAGCCACATTAGACAGCCGCTTGATGTGAGATCTCGGTGTTTCACTATTTGCTTCTTGCGTAGCTCCTCGATTCTTTTCCATCGTTCGGCAAGCTGAGTGACATTTCAAATGAGAAGATCCACATTTGCGACCAAGCATTCAATACTTACTGGCAGTTCAATGGGTACAAGATTCGAGAAATCGATCGTCTCACCCGGTCCAGGCAGTGCCAACATCTTATCTTTGAACTTCGTAACCTGTTCGGGAGATACTCCATCTCCGCTTGCCAATATCTTGCTCTTGCCATAGTCGCGCTTGTAACGGGTGGTATCAGGCTTGCTGGCAGTTGACGATGCAAGCGTCGCCTACAGGTCTTGGTCAGCGCGCATGGACGACATGAGTGGATCGACAAGACATTCACCTTCGTGGTTTTTAACTCAGCCGAAACATCCCGGAGTTGCCGTTGCAGTTGGTTCTCAGTGGCAATAGCCCCTTCGCGGGCTACAAGAGCTTCCTTGTGAGCTGTCTCGATGGTTGCGAGCTTGTTTCGCAGTTCCATGATCTATCGCAGTTCAGACGGCGAACTCTGCACCGTTAGATGGCCAAGCCTCTCACCTGTTCGTCCTTCTCGTGCACAGATGTCTCAGATTGTTTCACCTTGGCTGCCTGCCTCAAGCGCTCTTCTCTCTCTTGTCTTTTGAGCTGTTCAAATTCGACCTTGCTTTGGTCTAGTTCATTCGCAAGAGTTCCCGTCTTCAGAACGATGGTGTGAGGTGATCGTTGTGAAGCATTGGTATCGGTACCTTGGCTTCCATTTCTCGAAGAACACGTTTCTGCGTTTGGGAGTGAGACCCTGGTTCAATGATACAAGCGAGGCGATGTCTGCTCACCATTTCCGTGCCATGTTCCCGTTCTGCGCTCAGCAGGCCATAGATGTGCGTCAGCTAAGTACGATGGAAGCGGTATTCAAGTTGAGCATAAGAACCATTTGCGTTAGAAAACTCACTTCGCTCCGGAGCGATCCAATTAGTTCAGGCTGTCGAGGGGTATCAACATCGTCGAGACATTGGTCCTGACATTGAAGAGGATACGTACTTCTGATGCGTTGCTACGCAGCTCCTCCAACGCCTAGTGGCGCGGAAAGTCAATGCAACTACGTTGCTGTCGCAATATGTGTTACGTGACGTACTTTGCTGGATGCCTCATGCTTACTCTCACTTTGCGCCAGTGCTATCTGTAGCTCGTTGCGTTCCTAAATATCGCGTCCCAGTCAAAAGACAATGTGAATGAGATTGAACTAGAGTAAATACCAACGAATGCCACTGGTACTTACCTGCTCAGACGCACGCAGCTGGGTCTCTACGTTCAAGAGCTTCTGTTCCAAGAAGTGCAGGAATTCAGTCTGTAGTCTCGGACTTGCCGGGATGGACATCCTAGTCGAGACCGGACACTGGCCACTCGCAGTGCCAGTGTCTGAACTTGAACGTTGAACTTTGAAGCCTGGGAAGTCAAGAATGAAGAGTCTTTAGTAATACCGCGCTGAGTCTATCCTTCTGTAGACCCAACGGTACTCACAATAGTCACAAGGGTGTCGCGAATGGACTTGCCAGTGCGCGTCTCGATCAGGAGGAGGAGGCGATTCAGAGGCGATTGTCCCGCGACGCAGCGTATCGCGATCATGTGACTCGCATGGGTTCGCGTCGCGCGACGTTGGTGACTTACTAGACTGTCAGTACTTCAGTGGTCACCCAGATGCTCAAGGACGCGTTTTATTTCTTGCCTAGTGGTGCAATGAATATAACTCAGCGAACTAGCAGTGAGCAGGGCTTGAGTAGTGGGTAGTGGACCAACGTCACGGTGCAAGTGACCGCGCCACGAAGCTTCCACTCAGGACCGAAGCTTCCACTTACTAGAGTAGAGCGGCCGTGACCGACTCGGTGATACGACATGCTATGTAGCTATACCGTTGTTCAGCTTCTTGATGCCAGCATACTGGACTATGAGATCGGGGTTATGCGGGTAAAGCAGGTAAGGCACCGACTCCGTCGCGATTTCGAGGTGACGTGCTCTTTTGTGTTGTTCGTTTCCGAGTGACTGTACGTCCGGCAATATTCCCATTCGCATGTTCCAGCCATAGTGACTCTTGACACAGACATATGATCAACCAGACAAGAACCAACAATTTGTTTTCCAGGCCGATCCGTGACGTCGATCGGGCAGGCACCTCACTTCGCAAATCTGTGATGTCTCGAGGTTTAGTGCATTAGTTGAACGAGCATTCGTACTATAGTACATAGAACTTCGAACGAATGACAACAACAGACGTTCTATCCCTCGCGTTTGATCATTTTCGCCACTGGCTTCGCCGCCTGACTCGCCACCGTTCTCGCCCTCTTCCGCGGATCCGCAGGCACCCCCGCCTCGCATTTACGTTTCAGTGATGAGCGAGGGCTGACCTCAGGCTCGAACTTGGGTCTGACAATGGAAGGGGAAGGGGGCTGCTCCGTCTTCGAAGGCGTCTGCACGTACTGTGCTCGGAGACGATCGTCGAAGCCCTCCTTGTAGCCGACGTATTGCATGCCGATCACCCCAAGAGACAGGCGCCCTTCGCGTACGCACCCTCCACCCCGTCGAACATGTGCTGAGTACTCTTGCACGCCTCCAGAGTGTGGCGCGCCAGCGTCTCTGCGGCGTTTCGCTGCAATGGCCCAGGTGAGCCGACAAACACAAAAGGCGGATGAGATGAGCACTGACTGGCAATCTAAGTTGCGCGAGGTCTGGAACACCCGACAGGATCGGCCCTTTGAAGAACTTGTAGGTCCCCGCATAGAACACGAGCCCGCGGTTACCCCGGAGGAACAGCTCCCGGACCTGCTCGTTGATGTCGTCGCGGAGCGTGTTGGATGTCCAACTCGGGCACGGCAGCTCTCCTACTGACTGATAGAAGTATGCGGGGATGACTGCCAGTCCGTTCCGGGATCCTGTAGGCCACCACAGAGGCAGGTCCGACAGGTACAAGACGGAGCGCGGTTCGCTGTCGGTCTATTAGCGACAGCGATACAATGAGATCCAAGTTTGCTCACTACGTGTGATCGATGATCTATGCAAGTAGTTCGGAGATCAGGCGAGGCTTGACAGGGAATCGAATATGAACCCACCTCGGATATACGGGTCGTGGAACCAATGCACTCAGGGTTCAAGCAAGGTTGTCTCTTGTTCGGGGAAGGCCGGAGACCGGCGGGCTCAGGGAGATCCTGCATAAATCTTGAGAAGTGATCATACTATCGTCGGTCGGCCATGTTAGACATTGATCAACACATGTCAGCGTTCAACGACTCACCCTTCCGGCCCAGTTTCCATATCGCTTGAGAGTGATATCAGCCTTTTCCGCAGCAGCCTTGTACTTGTCCGATGAGACCTTCAGCTCGTCTCTCTCCTACGAACAGCGGCATAAATCGTAAATGTCAGGGCGTAGAGGTTACAGTGAAGACTCACCTTCAGAAGGGCCGCGAACGATTCGTCGCGCGCCTTCAGGTCTTTGACGGCTTTGACTCTGGCAGCACGCGCTTGATCCCTCTCAGCCTCTACACCACGCATCGCGTCCTGTACGGCCTTCGAACTCTTCTCGCGCGCGAGTACTTGCTCCTCCTTCTCGCGCAGCTTCGTCCCCAGAGACGCGATGGTCTGCTCCTTCCGACGAATTTCTTGGTCTCGGGCCTGCACCGTATCGTGTAACTCCACGACCCTAGTCTTCAATCGAGCATTGAAATCCGTGAGGTGCTGAATGGACAACAGAGTCATCAGAAGTGAGAATCATATCACAATGAAGGAAACTCACTGCGATGGTATCCTGATTCTCCCTCGCTACCTCCTCGCATGCACGCAGCGCGTCATCCTTCTCATGCACTTTGTCTTGCAGGGTAGCGAGCATCTCGGTCTTCCTCGCGACCTCTTCGTCTCGCATACGCGTCCCTTCGCGCAGTTCAG